CTCAAGGTACAGACCAATTTACTAACTTAAAATAGAGGTATTTAAATAACTTGGAGCCCGGGGACTGAAGAACTGACTCTTCTCTTGGGATTGCAGTAGGATGACAGCGTGAACCTGGTTGCTGCACATCACCAAGCCCCACGGTGTGTGCTCAGGAGGTGGCAGTTCTTAGAGAAGGTTCTTAACCTTCCTTTCCAGGGCACAAATGTAACACATCCTCAGGTCATATGGCAGAGCGGATGGTTTTGTTATTCTTTTTTTTTTTTTTTTCCTAATAGACCTATTTTGGGAAAATGGGCTAGAGAGTCCTAGATTAGCTTTAGTATTTTGGACACTAGTCCTACTTTTGTGTCTGCACCCAGATGAATTTATCATTAAGTTTTGATACAAATGCAGTACCTGGAGTTTTAAAAGCACGGGGTAAACAACAGCCTGGCTGGATATCTCCCAAAAAGAAAAGGTTCTAAGCTGGGAAAGAGAGGCTTTACAGGAGCTGCTGGCTGGAAGCTGCAGTCACATTAAAAAGTAGAAATGAAGTACAAATTTGTAATGGAGAAGGCGATAAACCACTGGAATGAGCTGGAACGGATGGATCCTTGGGCTATTGATGGTTTTGAGGCAAGATGTCTTTTGGAAATAAGTCAAACCAGTAACAGGTTTGTTTTGCTTTACACTCAGTGTGGAGAACTTGAGGCAGATGAAATGTGAAAGCCCATGTTCACAGACACGTGTGCACACCCACCCACATGCACAGAGCCCAGCCAGAAGACCTACAGACCTTAAGCTCTACATCATTTAAGTCCAGGACAGCATTTTGAAATTGCCTGTCCCTTCTAGGAGAGGATTCCCAACACATGGGGTTGGGAATCTGTCTTTCTTGCCAATTCAGCAGTGGTAAAACTTCATTCTCTGGGCTGAATTTGCATGTTTTCTTTGCCATCCAAGGCACTGGGGTTATCAGCAAGATGAAACTTGGTTCTTCTGCATTTCAGAAGCTATTTCAGTAATAACCCTGCTCTAATAGTGGGGCCTCCTCGGGCAGATCTCGTGTTCAGCCACTGATATTATCCCGTGTGGCTTTAAGCCAAGAATTTAGTCCCTCTGTTCGTGTTTTTACTTTGACAAAATGGTGATCTTTCTCTTCCCCAAGGACACAAGCTTTTAATTTGTTATTTGTAAAGCCCTTTTTAAGAGCTGACCAAGGAAGGTATTAGTGAAATACAAAGTGGTGGCATTATTTTTTACTATGTGACTCACTCAGAAATTAAAAGGGAAAATGAATTTCTCTTCCAAGTAAGTGATATCAGCCTCATCTTTACCAAGTGACTTCCTCCCTGCTTCTGCAGGGTGTTGTGGATCAGGGTGAACTATACTTCAAAACATTTAATTGCATACAGTTGAGAAATGAAGAAAACTGAAGTGGATCCCAAGAATGTATTAAAAATCAGAACTAAAATGAAAATGATTTCATGTCAAGTGAGACAAATGCAGAGTTGATACTCCAGTGCTTCACACTTCCACTTGTCCTTGGCACTGAGAAAATGAGATTTTTAATATCTAAAAAACAGATTGCCATGAAGACTCATCCATTGTAAATTTAAGCTGCCTTTATAGCAACTTAAGCTGGGAACAAGATTGTTCATTACATCTGATTCTACAACTGTGGCCATGATTTCCATATTAATATTGAATATTTTTTTTTTATTGTCTGTACCAGAAATAGGAGCAGGAGCTGGGAGTGTTTTCCCTGTGTTAGCAGATAATTTATTTAATGAATAATGCGAAAAGGGCAAAGGTTTGTGAGCTCTTACTTGCAGATCGACTATAGATTGTGGTGACACCTGCTTTTGCTGCCGTGATCAAACCTGGTTTGGTGCCTTGGTTTATGCTGAAAGGAGACAGAGGGAAAGAGGGAGATGGAGTCATGATTTCAGAATTGTGATTTTTTGGTGGCGGAAGTTCCGCTGCTTGGGGCTGAACTTTTTTTGGCTAAAATTAGAGAGCGAGGGGTTGCTTGTTTCCCATCGGATGGGGCTGAACTTTTTTTGGCTAAAATTAGAGGCGAGGGGTTGCTTGTTTCCCATCAGACGTGCCCTTAAATTGCAAAAACGTTTGAGCAACCTTTACATGTTGGGGGGGGGGCAGGGAAGGTATTTCTGTGCCATTGAACTTTAGACCAACGTTGAGTCAAAGACTATTTGTAACCCTTTTCAGCCGTTCTGGTCTGGCATGGGATGTGGGAAGCACCAGTTTCCTCTCCTTTCTGTGGAACTGTGCTTGTGTTCACAGGTCCAGCAACCAGGGCAGACCTGAGGATCCCCCCCCCCAACCCCCATCACCGCTTGGCCCCCGTCTGGGACAGTTTGCTGTTGCATTCAGACTGTAATCGTGCTGCTTCAGCCTTTAACATAGCAAAAATTGAGAATTCCTTTTACTTTCTCATGAGCTCTTTCCTGTTTATTTCTGCTGAAATGCTGCCATCCTCTATCCGTGCTCACCGGTCTGGACTCCTTGGAGAAGCTCCTTCTCCCTCCTCTCTTCGCATCCCAAATTTGGGCTGGATCCTAATGGCTCTTCATTTATAACATCTGAGGTCTCTACCATTTTTTTTTCCCCACTTCCATTAGTATCACTAATATCATTGTCCTGCCTTTGTCATCTCACACCTGAGTTACTGCAGCCTTCTCTTTGGCTCTTTATATCTCATCTCCTCGTGTTCCAGTTTTAATTCTGCGTCGCATGATGATGGAAGATGATCTTTTCTTTCCTTTGTGGGTTTTGTTCTTTGCTTCTTCCCCGCTCCACACCCTGGAAGCAAATCTTTCTCTGAGGAATCCAGTTCTCTATCATTAGCCTCTCTGACCTTCAGAAAGTTTGTATATATTTAAGTCCTAATTTGTTCCTATTCGGAAAACAAAACAGCTCTCTGTATTAAACTCAAAATTTGGCAATAAGTCAACAGCATGATCTCATTTTTTTTTTTTGTGACTGCTTCAGGGAAAATGTTTTAAATGCAGTTAAGAGATTTAACAGAGAAGTGTCTTGGTGTAGAACTATCTTTAAAAGGTTTGGGGTGGCTGATTGTGAGGGACTCGTGTGGTTTTCTTTGCCATCCATCAGTACTTTGGTGTCACAATTCCTCTCCTGGGCCACAATGCATGACCTGTGGTGTGGTGGGACCACTCGTCTTGTCTGTGACCTCGCTCCTGGCAACCTCCTTTCCTGGAGAGGAAGAAGGTGACTCGAGACCAAGCCATGGGCCAGATGAATTGTTTTGGCCATGGCAGCAACCAGCTCTTGGCATGTTCCTCCCCGAAAACACCCAGTGCTTTCCTTTGCCACAGCTGGATGGGAGCAATCATGGGGCAGGCTTAGAGCCTGGGAAAACTGGTGGCCAGAAGCCACCTCTAGAAAAGCTCATTCAGCCCACCCTTTTGCCCTGGAACTTCCTCAGTTTTTTCATGAAGGAAAAATCACAAAAAAAAGCCAGCATAGAGGATGGTATGGTCTATGTGTGCCCACTGGGCTCCATCTGGAATAGCTGCACTTCTTCCCCAAAACCTACACCAGATGTCATAGAGGAAGAGTCAAGCTGTAGCATCTGGACCACTCTTAACCCCCGAGAAGAGCCAAGATGTGTCCGTCCACAAGGCTCAGTTGCTGATATTACAGATATCTCTTTGTGGAGAAAAGTAAATCATCACTGCTTAGAGATATGATTTAGTGATGGATTTGGTCTCTGTTGGATTGACGGTTGAACTCGGTGATCTGAAAGGTCCCTTCCAGCCTGGACAATCCTATAATTCTATGATTCTATCCCCTGCAAATCCCTTTCTCTCTCTACTCACTTGTTTGTTATTCCAGCTCACAAACGCCCGTAGCCTAAAGTCTAAATATTCTCTCTCATTCTTTCCACATCTGCCTGGAAATGATCCCCTGCCTTTCTCTTTCCCCTTGGTTAATAGTTGGACTTTTTAAGCACTTTTCAGCCCATGTTTGTGGAGAAAGACATCAGCAGTGATAGCTAAAGAAAATTCTGTTAGGTCATTCCTTTTCAGAACATAGTACCTGTCTTCTAAGCTCTTTGCGGATGTTAGCCAAATAATCCTTTTAATAGCTTTTGTGAGTTAAAAGGGTAGGTAACTGTCATAAGGCTAAATGATTGCATAGATTAATTTACTTGTGGGCAAAAGAAATCAATTGTAATTTAAATTTTTGTCTCTGGGACTGATTATACTACCAGACATCAAACTTTTCCTTAGGAATTGGACCCTGTGCATTGAAGTGTATGTCTGGGATTGTATGTATGGGGCTGGATCAGTTGCAGGTTATCCAGAGTAGTGTGGTTGGACATACCCAATTTTTAACCTATGAGTGAGCACAAGCTCTGAATACTTAGCTGATGGGCCTTGTTTAGATCTGTACAGTATCCATTTATAATGGGATGTAAAAGATTATTTACCAGACTTTAAGACCATGGGTCTGTTGCACACCATGTCAAAGCCCCCGCCGAACGTAAAGGGAAGAAAGAGGGTGAGGCTTCAACGATCCATTTAAAAAATAAAAATTGAAAATTATATAAGAAAACTGAGTGGTTCCAGGGAGCGTTTTTCTTAACCATGGTGATATTTAGTGATTGGTATATATTCCACTGCCTTTTAGCAGAGGAATGGATTGGGTGATTGAGAAGCATCTTGAAGGATGCATTGGTTGGTTTTGGTTGGTTTTGCCTGTCTTCGGTTGTTTTTAACAAGAAGTGATTTAGTGGTGGGTTTGTCAGTGTTGGGTTGATGGTTGGACTCGATGATCTGAAAGATCCCTTCCATCCTGGACAATTCTATGATTCTATGATTTTGCACTACTGCTTGGTGAAACTACCCTAAGGTTGCCCTCTGTAAGCCAGTTGTATAATTGTGCACCAGATAAGAAGAAATCAGGATGTATTTTCCTTTCACGGGAATCCCTAATGTTTTTTTTTTTCTTTTAATTGTGTCTTACAGAATGGTGAATAACACTGAAGACCCTCAAGAGGCTTTATAACGTCCCATCCCCATGTAAAGTATGCTCAGAACTTTTCCAGTAGTGTAAGTACAAGCTAAAAGAAACCCACAAAAATGACATGTTTGGTGGTTTATTTCTGTTAATTTGTCTAAAAGCAGCAGAGAAACGGTTACAATGATTCAGCAGTTGGCTAAATTGGAGAGTTCCACGGGTTTGGTATTTGCTAGATACTCAAACTGGGGAACAGTAGCATTTAATTCCTCAGTTGTTCTGGCTGGTAAGTTATTTCTGCTGCTTTTCTGTCACTGAAAGAGAATGAAAATCATGCAGTTCTTAGAAACTCAGCCTTAAACAGGGAAAGGGTATTGGTAAAAGATCTCCATCCATCTACTGAACATACTAGAGGGAAACCAGAGCTGTGCAGGAGACAAAATCATGCAGTTCTTGGAAACTCAGCCTTAAACAGGGAAAGGGTATTGGTAAAAGAGAGATCTCCATCCATCTACTGAACATCCTAGAGGGAGACTTCAGACTTGGTGGAAGGGGATGAGTAGACCATTAGCCTAATATTCTACAGCAAAGGCAGAAAACCTGAGGCATCTAAACTAACATTGGAATTGAGTGTGTTGTTTCAAGCAATAGCTGCTGTATCTTGAATCCCGGTATGAACTGAAGTTGTCTGAATCTCCTCCTTGAGTTTGAGCCTATGATTTGGTTCTTTTAAATGACTTCTCTATCTTCAATGTAACTGGTATCCATCCTATTTTCTTCAAAAAATAAGCAAATGAATTCAAAGTTTGAAGCTTGTCAGGCTGAAAGGAGAGGCTTGACCTGTGCTGTGCTGTCATCCATCTCCCTCCCTGGCCAGTCCTGTAGCACCGTTCCCCACACCTCTTCTACAGGCACGACCAAACCCTTGTCCACAGGCAATCAGATTCTGGAGATGCTTTGACCTCTTGACTTCTGGTTGTAACTCCTGTCAGACTGGGTTGGAAAGAGAAATCCTGTCTGCAGAACAGGTAGCAAGAAACTGGGCTACTGTGAACACAGTGTGATCTTCCGGGGTAGATTATTTCAAGGATGGAGATGATTCATCTGGCACGTGGCCATTCCTAGTGCAAGTGGCAGTGCAGTCACAGAGGGAGTCGCAGCAAGAAATAACCACAACCAGGGGTTTTGTGTTGGCAACTGAACTGCAATGTATTTCAAAAAGACTTCTTGTTGGAAAGAGAAATCCTGTCTGCAGAACAGGTAGCAAGAAACTGGGCTACTGTGAACACAGTGTGATCTTCCGGGGTAGATTATTTCAAGGATGGAGATGATTCATCTGGCACGTGGCCATTCCTAGTGCAAGTGGCAGTGCAGTCACAGAGGGAAGAAATAACCACAACCAGGGGTTTGGTGTTGGCAACTAAACTGCAACGTATTTCAAAAAGACTTCTTGATACAACCATGAATTAGTTACCTTCTATTGCTGGTAGCTTAGTCGTCTGTTCAGAACAAGTTGTTTTCTACTTTGTAGTCAGTCCCCTGAGCCACCTCCTCTTCTTTCTTTTAGCTGGAAATATGTTGGATTTCAGTATTAAAATCACCACTTGAAATTGTAAAGATCTAGTTCACAGCAGGAAAGGAGCCTGGAGGTAAGGCCACGCTGCCCTGTGCATCTTTATTATACCCCTAATTCCCAGTTTGCAGAGTCATCTCCGAGCTCCTTGTGCTTCGCGTGGGCGCAAGGACAGTCTGCTGGCTTTAACTCGATATCAGACTTTTAACATAAATTTCCAAACTGTGGATGTTAGAATTTTAATTTCCTGTGCTTCCGTTAGATTTCGGTGATGTTCTGCCCCTGTGCAGTTTGGGTTGGGTATGGCTTTGTTCTGATGCTTTCTGGAATCGTTGTGGCACATTGATTTGCCCCGTTAATCAGCTGCCACCCTCCAGCAGAGGAGTAGCAGCTTTTTTTCGATTTATTCCGGTATATGTGCAGTTAATACGGTCATCAAGAACGCAATAGAAGTATAGGTGAATAATTTTTGACTGAGTGAAAGCTGGGGTGAATCTATTTGGAGGGGATTACAGAGTATTAAATTAGAGGAAATGGGCCAAGATGACCCATTTAGGTATAAAGTTTCCAGATTAAACCATAGATATCTTTTTAAAAGGATAAGTGGGCATCGTGGTTTCAGAAGGGGAAAGAGGAGAACAGAGTCTTTAAGGAAAAAAAAAAAAAGTTTTAACTTAAATATGGAGTAAGAAAGATTAAAATCGAACAATCTTAAAACAAGTGTGGTTAGAGAGTAGTTTGGTTACTCCCACCGTGGGGCAGCATCCTCTGGCAGAAAAGCAGAGCAGGAAACTGGTTCCAGTTACCGTTTCACCTGCTGAATTTTTATCCAGTTGGACAAGAGTCAATACGGCAGCATCCTCTGGCAGAAAAGCAGAGCAGGAAACTGGTTCCAGTTACTGTTTCACCTGCTGAATTTTTATCCAGTTGGACAAGAGTCAGTACTGGAGAAGAAGTCCATGGTGTGAACCATCAAGAATCAAGACTCTTGATTTTGGTCTCACAAGAATTAGTCATTTATCTGAACCTGAGTCCTTCTGTAGCCAATGCAAATACATCTCTACAGGGTTCTCCATAAATATAATTGGAATAATTACTTGTATTCCACAGGCTTACGGCAGTATTGATTAATTAATATGTGTTGATAGTGAGATATGATCATCACTGTTTGTGTTGCGTGTTTCAAACTATATCTCAAAATACGATCTGATAGAATTAGGCAGTTTCAACATTGTCACTCAAGGTTTACCTGAATTATCAGGCTGGTGCTTATGTATCCAGCTGCCAGCAATGACAGAGCTGTCTTGGGAGTGAGTAAGAGCCTGCTGAGTGGAAAGAAAATCTGTGAGTAATGCAGATGAAAAAAGACTAGATTGAAGCCTTGTCATCATTTAGGAAAAACAAGAGAAAGGAAGGAACAAGTGTGTGAGTGATACCAGAGTCAGCACACACTGAGGAACAGTCACCGGAGTTACGGTGGCTTAGAGAGTCACCGCGCGGCTGAGCTGTGTTAATTGTCCAGCTTCCTTGAGATGTGACATGAAACACGTTAATTACACTTGGGTGAAAGAGGACTCAGCTAATTTGCTCTTTTTGTCTTCAGTGACAAGGTGTCATGTAAATAGTTGGTGGCTGTAGGAGTGTTCAGGTGGCATTTTAAGCTTCCTTAACTGAAATAACCTCTTGCCTCAGCCCTTAGTTTTACTTTAAGATAAACCAGATGAGTTAATTCATGATTCCACATGCAGCTAAACCACTCTCAACAGGACTGAAAAGAAATCTTATTGCACACTGCCTCTTATACCTGCTTCTACTTTTGGCCAGATTGGCTTGTCCCCATCTGTTGGGTTGGCAACAGCAACCATCAGAGCCTTCTGGAAGCTAATTCAGGTCGCTAACCCAGGCAGGAACTAGCTATGGGTTATGGGTGGGTTGGTTGGTTGATTGGTTTTCCATCTGGCTTAGTGAACTGAACTGGTCAGTAGAGATTTCCACCAAGTCCTGGAGCTGTGCAGAAGGGCAGAAGAGCAGGCTGTAGGTCGGTTCATCCTTTCTTATGCATCTGCAGCCTCAGGACTTGCATCTCTAGGTGTTCTCCTGCTCCAAGCAGGACACAGAAAGATGTGGAGTTGCCCTGAAAATAGACCAGGTCTTCTCTATGTTATGAAGAGGAAATGTCCCTAGTTCAGGTCTGGACTACACAAAGAGATGCTTGTTGCTTTAAAAGCATTAATTAGGAAGTGTGTTTCTCTTTGAAATGCTTTTAAATAAAATAAAAGTCTAATATGGAAGCAACTGTGGCCAAAAGCCCATGGTTTTGCCATTATCATTTATATTCTTCAAGGAGCCACTGTTATCTGTTCCTGAGTTGTCCTCCAAGTATCTCAGTCTTCACTAAGACTGTGTGCCAGTAAAACTACACTTGCAAACTGTCTTCTAGTGCAAATAAAAATAATTGCTTTGTAGTTAAGCACAAAATTTAGCAGTAGCTAAGTTTCAGTGATTAGTTGGGTTTGGATTTTAGTTTTCTGAACTAACAAATTCCTCTTTTAAGGAGGTGTGTTGATGGTTACTGCCGGTGATGGATCCTGAGGGAGGAAGAAGGTGCCTGAAATACTTCAGAATGTCTCTTTTTCTTTACGCGTGGAAGAGGGAGGTGGTGGAAATCCTGGTGATGGCATTTCTTGAAGCTTGTCCTACACCTTGTCGTATCTGATGCTATAGATGGACCCTGTAGGATGGCTCTATGTGTGGTGAGAAAACACTTAAGAGTTTGGCCAGGCACTTTGTCTGCCTTCTGCAGAATACCTGGGTGACTTTGAACAACTCATTTTGACTTGTCTGAAGGTCAGTCCCCTTCTGTGAGCTCTGGGTCTCAAAAATTAGCGTACTTTTACTTTCCTGCATCACAGGAATATTCTGATGTGTTTCAAGTATCTCGATACTCCAGCCAGCAGAATTCATAGAATCATGAAGTGGTTTGGGTTGGAAGGGACCTTAAAGATCATCCAGTTCCAACCTGACTTGTGAAAAGATGGTCTTGGCAAAGGCTTCACAGTCTTCTGTCATGATCAGACCCACTGTTGACCAACTGGCAAGAGGAAGCTCCACCTCAACCTTTATATCCAAAGTTTGGTCTCCAGCTGAGTTCCTCCTTTGTTCTTGGCAGAGGTTTGGGTTTTGGGCCCTGGTTCAGCCCTCAGCTGCCGCTACAGGTTTTCTCTCTGTTTGTTAGTCCTTCTGGTCCCTTGTTCTGCCCTTGAATCCAGCATCAGGGTTTGAATTCCTGCCTCGATTCCGCGGAATTGCAACAATAGTAGGAAACCCAGATTTTAGGAGTAGGGAAGGTTAGGGTTAGACAGACAGATTAGGTGTCAGCGTGAATCAGCCTGTGCCTTGAGTAGAATTCAGAAGTCTCTGGCTCCCAGCCCTGTGCTTAGTCAGAGGTCAGTCCCTTCTGTAAGACTTGGATTATGACAATCATTGGCATTTATATTATATTTTTGCCTTGTAAGATCG